TACTACCAACCCTACAAATAATTGTTTTGTACATTTATCTAATTTGTCAATGAAAATTGATCTCAGGGTGGGACCAAGTGGATTTTTTAAGCATTATTCATTAAGTATATTTTTAGTATAGCATTGTGAATTCGAAATTAATCAAATATAATAAAATTGATCGTTTTCGCGTTAATCATTCATTAGAAATGAAAGATCAAAACTTATTTCTTCTCTTATAAAAATTTATAGGATCAAACCTGTTCTATCAATTAGGAGTAAGGGAAACAGACAGTTTTAAATTGTCTTTTTTAACCTCTAAGACCTACCTACCCTAAATATATTTTATTAAATTTTATTATCATAATTGTTTTGGTGGCAGAATGGATGAAGTAAACTCAATTGCAAGATAATGAATAAAAATTTTCCCTTAATAATTAGCAACCAAACAACAAAAGCAAGTCCAATAATGAAGTCCCGGATATAAAACAATACCGAGACCACAGATGAGCCATTTACAAATGATTAAATTGATTATTAAACTAAAATAGAAAATTAAGTTTCTATTAATAACAAATTACAAGACCAAATCGTGACGTAAAAAGAATGGTGACTTTGCCTTAAATAACTGTTAAATCAATTGCATATCCATTTTTAAGACTCATTTCAATTTGACACCATCTCTGAGGTCCCGGGTATGATTGCCGGGAAACGTGACGTCAAGTAATGAAGAAAATGTAATTGAACTGTCACAATACAAGTGCTTTAGCTACTTAATTTGGAATCTGAAAAAGTTATCCATTTCTTTATTTAATTAAAGAGACCAGAGACATTTTCAAATCTAACAAGTGATTATGCTTAGTAAATTTCGCATTCGAAAACATAATGTCATAATCTATTTATTGTGAAAAAATCACTAATAGTGAACATATCTCCATCGAGTCGACAATTTCAGTTGCTTAGTTGCTGTTTTGAATCCCGACTGGTATAAGAGAGTTGTATTTCTTCTAAAATTATATTTATTTTTAAAAGAAATACATGAAATACATACATTGTGCACTCATAAATAAGTATTTATGAGTGCACAATGTATGTATTAAATTTGACAGCCCGCTGACACTGTGAGGCGGGTTAAGGTCTTAACATCATTCATCATCATCATTAGCCTACGTCTCCACGGCTAGGCCATAGGCCTGCACTATGGATAATATCGAAACGAATTAAATATGAAGAATATGCCATGAGCTGGACCCAATGCGGATTGGTGGGTATTAACGAGTGCAGACGCAGCCTGGATCAATGGCTTAGCCTTTCAGAGAGGAAGAGAGATCTTCCTCTTTAATTTTTGTTCATTATAGGGTGGATGAACAAAAATTAAAGAGGACCGATTAAAGAGACCGACCTTTACGAAAGTTGCTTATATTGCGCATCGCAGACAGATCTCGCTAATCACTGTGCCGTCAAGCTCCTCAGAACTTCATTCCACTAATTAATTTAAAGATGTATTGTACAGTTGTATTTTATATATTATAAGATCTGCTTGTCTTCAAGTCTTGTATTACGTATATGTAGATAAAAATTCCAAAAACTAAGTCTTGACTTTAAAGAGTTAGTTTTTTTAAATTCAAATAAGTAACTATTAAAATCGATAAAGGTGTTATTAGCGTATTTTATAGAACCAGTTTAGTTTTACTTAATATTTGCTTTACTCCCAATGATGCGGAATGTCGCTAATCATGCTTATTTATTTATTCATTTTGTACACACATACAATTTCACATGAACAATTGTAACAGACATTAGTATAAGAGCTTATTTAAAATTAGAAACAATAAATCCTGACAGACATCTTTACCATACTATATTGTTATATATATATTTTTTGTTTCAACTTTAACACAGGTAAATATGCTATTTTAACAAAAAATAATACTAACAATAATAACTACTTAATACCTATTAATCAATATAACGCCGCGCTTCCGTCATTCCCTGCTTTTAAGGTGCATACTTATATAAAAGATTCCTCTCTGTCAACTAGCTTTATACATATAAATAACATTCAAAAAAGTTGTAGTTGCTGTTAAAGTAGTAGAATCTGTAGTCACAGCCAAAAGATAAATTATAAAATATTATCTATAGACAAAATTATAGTTTCACCTAAAACACGGTAATAATATATATAACCTTAACACATATATTCTGCAACTAAATATTCATCATCATCATCATCATCAGCCTTTTTACGTCCCCACTGACGTGGCTCGGGCCTTCCTTATGGATGGTTAAGGAGGATGGGCCATGACCCTCCACGCTGACCCAATGCGGATTGGAGAGTATTAACGAATGCAGCCGGGACCAATGGCTTAACGCGCCTTCCGAAGCACGAAGTAGCTCGAGATAATAAGATAGATACTATTTTCTTGATACAAATACTATATATGGATCAAATTAATATATCCGTATATGTTTATAATGTATTAAACAGCGACACTTCAGACAATATATTTTATATATGTACATCGTTGATTCGTTCGCCAATTTACTTCACCAATAAATTCTTTTCATTGGTGTCTTGTCTTAACTACGTTGGCTAAACTTATATCAATCAATGGGCCAAAATATTTATCAAAATCAACAATTTATTTCCTGTAGAAGCGACATTCATTTAACTTTGTATTGATAATTATTAAAAGGTTGACAAAGTAATAAAATATACTGGTAAAAACCCGTGTATTACACATGGGTTTTTAACAAATACGAGATAAATACATAACAGTTATCAATGTTACTAAATAAAATTTATAGAATGGTATACATCATGCATAATAACGACTAGTTACTAACTTAATTGAAAATATTATTCGCATATGTTCAGGAAAAATATAGGATTCTTTGGCAAAGAATTTATAATAGACTTACTGTCGAGGTTTCACCTCTTTAGTGGATCATTAGATTTTATGTTTTTTCTGCAATTTTTATTTATTATTTTTTCTTCTTGCGCTTTTCTTATCAAATATGTATTGCATTGTATTTTTAAAGTTATAGTTTCACTGTGCATAGGCCATGAAATAACGTATTTGACAAATGAATTAAGATTTTCATTTACGCCGTCTTTAAAGATGATATTATTTCAATACACTAAAATATAGGAAATTGAATTGGAACCATGAGGACGCTCGGCTAATCTTGCTCCACTTTCGCAACATTACTGCGAGCGTTGAAAGTTGTATCGAAAGCTAACGTTGACTTGTCCTCACCTTTGGAAAACAACTTTGAGCCTACACGACTAAATATTATAAATTCAGCATAACCATAAACTTACATATGTATAACTATCGATAAAAGATATATTATATACATACAATTATATACATACGAAATTTAACTAATACATTTTACTACTAATAATAATTTACAGGTCTTGAGTGAGTGTTCAATGAGAGACTGAAGTGCCATAAGATTTATTTATACACAGGCAAAAATGCCCATTATATATACAATATATCAATTGTGAGAAAACGAAACTACACCGCGATTCACAATTGGTAAGTACCATCTTTTATTCAAAAAAGGATCTAATGCTATAATGCTAACTACATATATTTATTGTTTATTTTAAACACATTTATCTATTTATAATAACTTATTTGGTACTTTTTGAATGCAGGGTTGTTTCAGGGTTGATGTCCCAGAGTCGTATTGCAAAAAAATTAAGGGGTTGGATACAAACCCAGTTCGGCGAGAAAGAATAAGAAGAGTTAGTTTGCTACTTGAGCGAAATTGCGGGTGTGAGAGTCACCCAAACATTGAATTTCATTCGAATCTCACTTCAGACATTACACATTATCAATAAAATAATCATAACCAAACCAACCTGAATTTAAATCTTAATGCTGTATTAATACAGTTCAAAATCAATTGCGAAAGTTCGACATAATGCTATAATCTGATGTGCTGCTGTGTCATCGATCTTCATTACCATTACTTATTAATTACATAATTATATTGTTCTCCATCAATTTCGCAGAAGATTAATATAGAAGACCACTATAAGACCAACATAATATTTACCTACTACATATTCCACCACCAGTCTGTATTGCCCAACGAGATCCCTTTGCTTACTGCTAGTTACTTTAATGTACACAAGTAATCCTCCAAATAACATTTTACTCCCCAAAGAAGGTCGGTAAAGAAACTATCGAATTCCAAAAGATGAAAGTATATAATTGTAATAAACATTCGGTCAGTAGCACTAACGTCCATTAATGTTTAATGATACCTTTATGATCTATCAGTCAGTTGCACAAAAGTCCATTAATTTTTGTTTGGGTAATGTCGATTCAACGTCTTTTGTGCAACTGGCTGTTAGTTTTTTATTAATATACCAGATATTTCTACCGCGTTTATAGATCATTCGCTTACTAAGAACACTATGGTTGAATTGAACAAATGTTTGTAGCAGTTTCCATCAACCATAACACGGAAGCTAGTATACCCTTTGTTAAATGAACGCAACCCACACACTGTTGTGAATTCCAACAGATCCAAGTCACTTTGTTAATAATTTCATTCAATATATTAAATGACTTGGCCTGAAATATGAGTTTTATCATAATCTTTAAGTAGCTGTTAATTAACGTTGCTGATTATTAACGTACCTGCATATTTATTTGTACAGTAGTAGACTAAATAAACCATACTTATATAGGAAAAAATATTATCGATACATTTTTTATGGTAGTCGCTTATACAACGGAATATACATTCACTAAGACTTTCTTTTATATTTTGTTCTTACTTGCAATACTTAGGTATTAATATTGGTAATTTAATTTTTATTATAATCGATATTTTATGTTTTTGTGTTACAAACAACAATATTTATATTTACTTTGATTTCCTTATAACAACTAATAACATTTCTTCAAAATGAAACTAATGTTCACAATATTTAGAAACTGATAGATACATATGTAGTTCGATGTAAGCAATGTTAAAAAGTTTGTAAAGATTAGAGAAAGCGTTTAATAATCCGATGATCCAAAACTGCCTCTTCTCTATTAATATATTTTTTTAATACGAGTAGATGTGGATATTAATTAATCAAACTCAAGTAAAGTCAAAATGAGTGTACAGGCAACAACAAAGTTTCCACCAAATACCAATATTTTTATTAATTTTGCATTCACAATGCCATACTGAAAATTATTCTTAATATAAAGCAACTGAATTTTACAGTTTAGTTCCTTTGGTTCTTACAGTCAGGTAGTTCTTTATATTGATGAGCATACTAAAACAACGTTTACTTATAGATTATGCACCAATTTCAACAATATCCCGTAGACGCCTCAAAGTATTTCAGATTAAGCCACTTAAGACGTCTTTGCTTTGAGATTATTTTTTATAATGAGTAAAAGATTGTATAATTATGCTAATAAACTCTTTAATATATAACCTACAAACAAAATTACAATGTAAAAGAATAGTAACACAATGGCTCTTAAGTCAATCATATAATGATACTGAAAAAAAGTGACTAAATAATATAAAATACATAAATAATATAAACACACACATACAACGCACACGCACACGCACACACACACGCATACACAAGATGGTAATTTTAATTTTAATGTAATAACTTTCAAGGATACCTAGTTTAGATGTCAGGCTCCTATGTTAATGATTATACTAAGCACATTGTTTAAATTTAAAAGTTTATGGAGAAAAAAAATAAAAAATAAAATAAATTTGTATTGGATAAATAAATGCTATTTCATTTCATGCCCTTCAATATTTACTTTTCTCTTTTTAGCTATGTGGAAGTGTTATAAATTGATTATAATAATATATTGATTATGTTAACTTGCGATAGGCAAACAAAGGTTTTATCTTAATAAGTCCATCAGTCACTGATATACAGTAATCCGCGTAATACGAGCAGTAATAAACTGAATATTTAGATAAAATCTAAAAATATTTCATTACTTTTATGTACTTCGAATATAAAAATAGTACTAATTAATAATGCACGATAACCACAATTTTTTATTGCTGTGCCGATAACCTTAATTTGATTTTTTTAGAGTTTCAATTATAATAATGACATTTTACGGTTTTCCAATAATTATTCTTGTATACATCCATTATTTTCAGAAATATCTGTAACAAATACATATAATTTTGAATGCAAATATCAAAAATAGTATCTCAATATTTTTTTGTAGTTTCCCACTTTGATATACTCATAGAAACGAAAAATTATATCGCACGCAATTCTTCTCTAAGAAATCATTATCATAATCACTAGTTATCGCCTAATATGAAATATACTCCAGTAATATCATAAAGAGGGAAGATTTAATTGTTTGTTTGTTTGCATTGAATTTGCATCCAAAACTACCGGTCCGATTATAAAAATCTTTCAATTTTTATTTCATATCATACACGGATGACATAAGCTATAATGTAATTGGGCGACGTTGCGGAATAACAAATTAGTTTTAAATGAAACAACCAATAAGCGTTGAAAATTTTATTAAAAAAATAAATTTATACGCATAATAAAGCAATTGGTAAGAAAGAACAACATGGTTACGATAACAAGCTAAATACAGATTAATATTCGTTTCTACAATCGTTTCTACAGATTAATAAGAGCATAGGATTACCATATTTTAGGATTTCTCTCGAGATTACAGGTTATTTAACTGTTTTCATTATTATGCTACATTTTGGAAAACAAATATTTTTTACTTATATGAAGATGAAATTATTTAAATTATTGAGATCTTTTTTTAGAAAGTTACTGAAGCAATGAAGTTTAGAAACTCAACACTTATTTGTTTATCTAGTAACCTTGAACTACTTATCATTTTTATCATATATTCACTTTGCAATGATACATTTTAGTTCTTCTTCTTTAATTTTCAAACTTCGTAAAAATCTCTCATTTTTTTAAGAATTTCATAAACGTCATAGGAAAGAGTCTCAAAGAGTTTAACAAAGTTTATTATTGTGTTGCTTCGCAATTCTTAATTATTGTCAAATACTTTATACATGTATTATACGCGAATTGGCGTTGGCAATATTTCGGATATTGTATTATCGAATCACAAGTCATTATTTTTGTTGATAATATATATAATATTATAAATAAAAATTCATCCTTATCATTTTACGGAAAAGTCCCCATTTTCCGTAATCCAGAAAGATTATTAAGACAAGTAAATTATATGTACTTACCTACTTATATTTATTACCTTAAATATATGCCAAAGCTTAATCTTTTAAGACTATGCAAACTAAATTAACGTAATCTATTCACCGATAGCCTTTATGATATCGGTATGATATGTATGCATCCACGCCGTGTAGAATTCCTAACACCACCCCAATGTACTGAAAGAAAAAGAAAAAAATATTTAATTTTTTTCCAGTGTTTGCTTCACAGAGTGGTAAATTACGTTTAACGTTTTACATTGACGCGTTCACTAGTGAATGCGTTAAGAATTTGAATGGAGATTTGTAGGTCCGGTCTCGTAAATAAAATTGCGACATTCGGAGTAAATAAACCCATTTGTTTGTTTGCTCTGCATAGGCTGTGAAAGTAATGCACCGATTTAAAAAAATCTTTTACCTTTGTGGGACCTGCATCTTACGCTCAATCCCCCTTCTTCCCCCTCATATACCCCCTGACACTGGGACAGTGCATAAAGCATTCCCCCTACGACAAAAAGAAAGCTGTAATACTTACATAGACAGCAGTCATCGCGGGATACGCAGAGTACATGCTGACGAGTGCATACTTCGGATACAGGAATATGTTCACCATCGCGCACATGTACGAGGACGCCGACAAATAAAGGAAACATGCCACCGCATTAAACAGGCATTCCTGCAAACAGTCACATTCAAAAACCATTATTAACTATTTTTTTCACTCATGCGACCATGGCCTGCCTGCCCACAAATAATCCGAAATGTCTAGACTATTAAGTTTTTTTTGGATAAATAAATCAATCTAAGAATATAAAATGTCAACAAAGTTATGTTTGTACCACCGGAATCAATAACATTCCACTGACACTGATTTATGCTAACGAAATCAGAAATATCAAAGACACCCTTAAGCGCTATTTTATAAATATGGAAGTGTGTGCAGAAATACAAGAAACAATTAAATTATTAACTCACAAATATGGACTGCCTTATTAGTTGTTGCGTATTATTGGAGAGAACATAACATGTGATGAGTAGTGACGTGGTGAGGAGGCACGCAGACGCCGTCGTCAGGAAGCTGTGGAATGCTCCCTCCATGCTGGATGCTTCAGACATTCCATACTTTACTAATAAGCTTTGGCAAAGACCACCTAACATCTGAAAAAATTGAATAACAATCACTATTTTTTAATTGCTAAACGTACCTTGAAAGTGTATAAAGAAGCAAATAAACAATTGTTTAGGGCATCACGTCTTGGGTTGTGGTGACGATAGCTTTACCAGCCTCTTTAGATTAATGTATTTATAGTTTTTTTTTTTTTTGCTTTTGTCACTTTTGTTATTGTCGTCTCACTCCTATCTTGTTTTTGTACGTATTTTATATATAGCTTTTTTAAATTATTTATGTCTTTAATTTAAATTAAACTCCTATACATTACCTATTTAAACAATTATATATTTGGAGACAATTATCTTTGGAGAATCTTATAATGCAACAATAATTATTTTGTTTTTGGGTCATATATCATCTTCGCTTTAACAGTTTCTCATGAAATCGTGACAAACATAACTATAAAGTAAAAACAATTCCGCCATATCTGAGTTCGACGCTAACATAAAGGATTCCGTAGGTAGTTACCACAATAGAACTTAGTGACACATTTTTTTTATACACTAAAGGCCTGAAGTCCAAATATATATCGTCTAAAGATTAAAATTCCAAAGTAAAAAAATAATAATGCAAGTTATGATATCTGAGGCAATAGAAATTGTGTAAAAATGTCGTTTTTACTTAATAATATCCTATTGTCACATTTTGTCCACAAAGAAAACTACAATATTTGAAAGTTATTTGAAAATTGTTACACAATGATTATGAAACTTTTTCCGTTTTTTTATATTTTTGAATGTATACAAACCGCTTCAGCTAATTTGATGAGACCATTTTGAGATGTCAAATATCCAAGATTGAGGCATTCACAGCATCGGCAACAGCAGCATTTGATTCCTTTCTCAGCCCCCGGTGCTACTCGTACTATCGTCGGACCACGGGTCATCGTATTTTCAAAATCAAACACTGATAAATCACTTAAATTTTCACTCAATTAGATTAGATTCAACATCAAACACATATCAAACATACCACTCATCCCCTTTCCCAAAACCAGACTAACACAGAAAGTACTTTCATAAACCACAGGAAACGCAAGAGTTAAAACACTTCACCATTTACACGGTTAGAGTTAGTCACAACACAATATTTTTAGATGTTTTGCGAGTCTCCCCAATTAGAGTTCAACGAACTGCCCGGTGACCTAAATACCAGGTGAATTATTGAATTCCCAAATAGTTTCCAAAATCGTCAAACATACTAATCTTTAGGAATTGAATTTCTGTTCCTTCTGTCGTATACCAAAGCTAAAGAAGGATTGAAGTTTATGTCGCGTGCTAAGCCATATGCGTACACGCTCGTTATAAATAGACGACGCGCGCCAAGGAGGGTGTTGTTAACTATATTTAGGGTTTTTGTTTAGATTGACTTGATTTTTTCCGATGTAGAGTAAAAAAAAATCAAAGTTTAAATACCATAACTTACAATAGTTATGATTATGTACAAAGCTATTGTTTTATTATGTTTGCTCGGTGGCATAGTGTGTATGTGCCGTGGCCGGCGATCGTTGTTATTAAGCTTTATTAAACTTTCGTACGGGATGGATGTAGAAAAATTTCTCCGAAGGCACATTAATCCGTTAGTCCCGGCTACTTTGCAGTCGTATTATATCCTCCAATCCGCATTGGGCCAATATGGAGGGTCTTGACCCATTCTCCTTGACAATCCATAAGGAAGGCCTGAGCCCTATGAGAACATAAAAAGGTTGAAGACGATGAATTGTCCTCAACCTTATGCTCACTCTTAAATGTGATCATAGTTAAAATATTAATAACATCTAATTCTTTTAACACCTGCTAATGGGTAATGGAAATCCATATAAACAACTATGGATAGCAGTGTTTATGAAGGCAGTACAAAAGATTTTGGAGGATGTTTCCAAGGACTGTTTTGTTTCTTCGAAATGGGATCGATAAAATATTGCTACTGCATTGGCAAATGTACAAAGGTTTCATAGATACAAATTGGATACCACAAGTATTTCCAGATGACGTGTAACCTATTGCCCTGTGCCACTGCAAATACGACCTTTGAGTTTTAGAGGAATGATAGACTGGGACAGAGGATAGCGAATTGCGCGACAAAAACGGTTTTTAATCAGTGATTGTAGAAGTTTTGCATAATTCCCTCGGTTACAAAGTTCTCATATATTTTCATATAACCATTAATAATTCTCTGTCTAAAAAAGGATGTGCCTATATATCGGATGATCCAGTTGGATTTGTACAGTGCTATATTTTCACATTCAACTGAATGTCAGTACTTTTGGGTACAAGTGCCCTTTTGAAGTGGCATTTTATGAAGTCTATTAATGACAATTCCGGAAATTCCATGTTTCAATTTTCATTGTTTCAAATAAAAATAAAACTATGCAGTTCTTTTTTATTTTTTATCCTGCTTTTTTAATATCAAAACTCTTTTCAATATGCCAAACTTATATTTATATGTACTTATTTTGAGTTCGGGACACGAAGCCCTTTGTAAGGCATAAGCGGAGGCCAATATGTCATATTTCAGAAGAGATCTATAAACGTTATTTACGTTATTGACTATTTAAAACTTATTTTTAAGTAGTCAATAACGGGTATCTCAGATATAAAAAATAAAGACAAAGTAAATAAAAGGCGATATAAAAATAAATGTATCATATAAAAACTTTTAATGTATTTTTATAAGAAATTCAAGGGCATAAACTTAGCTTCAATTAATGTAAAGTAAGTCTGTAGCTATATTTTCACAACACTTTTCAGTCACTATGTGACTTTGGAAATACTTTGAGAAACTAAAAACTTTACTTATTTATGTTATATTCTTCTTATTACATTTGATTAATTTTGTATTCACAATGTTATACTGGAAAGTATTCTTAATGAAAACTTCTTAAAAATCCACTTTGTCCCTCCCCATCTCAGATTACAAAGTATAAAGTGATTTATTTAAGCATTATTCATTAAGAATATTTTAAATAAAATAAAGAACGGTGTCAATTCTGTGCACCAGTCTCTAAATAATAATTAAAAATAAACAAATTTTAAATTGGTATTGTTTTAACTTCATTCCATAAGCACTTAAAAATATAATTATACTCCTTCATACTATAATGTGATATAAGTATCTCATCTATTTTCATAACAAAAAGCGCAGTCTGTAACCTAAATTTAGTCAGATTTTTGCAACAGAATTGCTACCATTAGCATAAAATAGTTTTGCTACTTCTATCAAAAATGAGATTTCTATTAAATACTTATTATTATTATAAAAATTACGCCGTCGAATAATTCTAGAACAGACTAGTTTTATTAATATTTCTAACATCAAAAGCTATATGTATAAACATTATAATAAATCGTTAATTTCAATCTATATGTACCTATAAAATAATTTAACATTATACCTAATATTATTATAAATAGACTTAGTAAAATACCTGTTAAGTAATTATGACTCCAAACTTCTTTTGGCATAATAACGCATACAATGCGATATTTTTAGAGATAAAGAAAGTAATGATAAACCATTATACATTGCGATAAATAACTTATTAATAAATAGGACAATATATAAAGTCGAAAAGTTATCCCGAAAATAGATTTCTTTTTCTAAACTATGTTTCTTTACATTAAGTTTTGTTCTCATGTTTGTCAAGATATAACTAAGTTTACCTATTGGATAATAATAGATGGAAACGAGAAGGGGCATTCGGTTTTTCAAATAAAATAATAATTATTTTTACAATTGTGTAAGTCGAAACTCAAATCCATCGGTTCATAAATTTACGGTCGCTCGACCTTGTACCGAGAAGAATCTCTAAGAATCTCAGCAATGGCTGCTTTTTCTCTCTCTTCTCGTTTTTAACCTAAAGCTATTATTACATTTTTTAAATTCACACGAAGAGGTTACATCGCCCTTTTTACTAGAATTTCTCTAATATTATTGGATAAAACGTACGCATTACCAAGGGCTAATAAATCCTAATATTGGGAATATTGGGAAGTGTACATGCACTTAATTTACAATGATAGATAACTCAAGAGACACAAGCGTCAAATTTTTTTTATTGTTTCTGTTACCTTTCACATAATATAAAACAATAAAGATACTTATTTTGACCACAAACAGAGAAACGTACTCGGCACTATTTAGAATCATAGGCACAATTCAAGCTTCAATATTGTATCTATAGATTGTTTATAGGAACTTTGGCTTTATATATAGAATAGTATATATAAAGCCAAAGTTCCTATAAACAATCTATGCCAGACTATAGAATTGCACGTAATAATGAAAACTGCTGTCTTATATGTATACTATGTATTCTCTGTAATTAAAAAATGTCTGTTGATAAAAACAGAAAACTTACTAAATTTTCATAAAGCTTTTACAGGCACAATTGCGTTATATTTATTTACTATTGAAGAGTTTATGCAATAGCGTGATATTTTGGAAGACTACTAATATTGTAAAAATATAATATCATAATATTCATAATTTGTATACAAAAATAGACCTAACAAAAATTTTGTTTAGACATCTACTGTTGTGTACTTAGCCCATTATTGGCAAAATGAGATAATCTAAACATATTCAATTGTTCTCATACTTCCCTTTGCCTTCGTCAGTGGCGGCCTTAATGAGGATAATCAGGGCAATCGTCCAGCAGGCAAATTCTACTAATCTCGACGTAATAATAGCATCTAAATAGAATCTCAACTACATACATTTTGCCGCTGTACTGTCCATCTGAATTCCAATATTATTATATTTCTATCACCATTGATTTATGAAAAAGATACACCACAAATAATTTTGCACTTCACGCAGTATTACAATGGTATACATTTTCAGTGTTTTAATAATATGGCAGAGTTATTCGTTAATTACTTATAGCGAAAAGAGGTTAAATTTTAAATTCCTCTATAGGAACGATTCGCAAAGAATGTACTCAGCAAGTACAGCGCAGCCATTACCAATCCCATAATCTGAAACAAAAACATAAAATCTGTTTTATATACCTAAATAAAATAACATAACATTAATAATAACATTTCGAATAAAAATACTGAGATATCGTAACTATTTTTATATATATTATGACCCACGCACCGTATTATTTCGTTTAATTAATATATCTCGTTTAATTAATATGTTTCGATTTCATGACATTATGTCTCTTAAAGTAACACCACTTTTACAATAAAAAAATCATTTTAGACAATAAAATATGTATAACTATTACGAATTAACCTATATTCTATTCCACCTCGAACGAAAATTCTGAAACTTTGGAAATCTTTTAAAAATGCTGTTAAAATCATATCCATGAAGATTATCTGTACAGAGGCGGTGTCCAATCCTACATCCTGTTGCAACATAAATTATCGAGAATTTTTTTTCTTTGGAATCATATGAGCATTACAAAAACAAATGAAATTTCGTTTTACTGAAATAAAATAGACCTTCGAATATAATGTTAATTCGTACGAGTTGTACAATACGTTAAGGTACCAATGTTCTGTCTATTATTCGGTCTGATATGTATTAGTTACATCTAAAGAGGAAAGATTTGATTGTTTGTTTGTCCTGTAATTTTAGAACCAATATAAAAATACAAGACAGATTTTAAAAATTCTTTCATCTAATATAATCGCGGATGACATAGGCTAAAATTTGCGAGGGCCAAGGGTGGAAAAATATTTTTTTTTGTGCTCTACTTGGTCTACTTGTATTGCTCTACTTGTATTTTTGTTAGTTTAATACGTTAACATACCGCAGCTGCTAAATAAGGTTCATAATTCCGACCGTAGGAGTTTTTGTAGTGATTAACTTCAATGATGAGCGTGAGCCCTGCCGCCAAGTACATGATGAACGCCAAACAGTGGTATATCAACTCCTGCAATAAAGTTGTATTATCATTCATACAGAGTCCGTAAATGACATTGTCAATAAAATATGGTGGAAATCATAACCAGCCTATTAATATCCCCATTGCTGGGCACGGCCTTCCTTATGGATGAAATTAATTCGAATGTGCCATGACCCATCTCGCAAGCCCAGTGCGAGTTGGTGGATGTTCAGCAACATATTCGCGTTTGATTTGGTTCTGGACCGTAATCACCGAATGTTTTGTCACCAATTGCATAAACAGTTTCTTTTATAGAACAAAGGGAACAATCTTACACTCTGCCGTCAATTAGAGTGATTGCATCCTGGGCATTGTTCCTCAGAGTGCGTAAAATGTCTTCAAATAGGGGCCATCCATAAATTATGTCACACGTTAGGAGTATAGAATAACCACACCCCTTCTATTGATTAATTCTGGCTGCTGTCTCTCAACTTCCTGCTTTAACCTTATCAGTTGTTCGCAATTGCATCCAGAATCGATGGTCCTGTCTGGCAGTAACAGCTCATAATGAATAATGTTCTTCCAAGTCCACTATACACACAACATCACCTTGTTGCGAGTTAACCCGGGTTTCACCAGTCTGTGAAGACTGACCAACCTTTGACCACGACCTTTTTCGCACGTTCTTGTCGTACGTGATCCAATTTTCATCTCCAGTTCTCAGCTTCTTCAAAAGTGGTTTGATTTCAATACGCCGTAATAAAGAATAACAAATGCTTCTTTCAGTGAGCTCGTGGAGTACCCAAATGTCCAACTTTTTTGTGCAGCCAGCTTTTTTTCAAATGTGCCAAAACTGTTTTGTGGTCAATTCCCAGTTTTTCAGCTATGTCGTAACTACTGATATGCCGATCTTGCTCTACTCGTTCATAAACGACATCCATTTTAATAGTAACAGGGCAATCGGAGCGACGTGCATCTTCATCTCAATTTACAGACTGAAAACGCTTAAACCAAATTTATGCTACTGTCACAGAAACTGCTCTAGGTCCTAAACGTCACAAAATTTTTTCGCGACTTGCGTTGTATTTCAACTTTGTCGTAATAAAATTTAAAATATATCGAATTTCTCTTGACTTCATTAGATTCACTAATTTTCACAGTAAGAAAACAAATGAAAATCACTCATTTTCTTAATTTTAATTCAGTTTTCTTCTTTAAAATTTAAACTTTTTAATGATATCATAAGTAGCTTGGTGGCGTAGTGGTTAAGCGCCGCAGCCCGCGATCGTTGTCGTTAAGCAACTTTCGCAAGGGTCGGTCTCGGGATGGATGACCAAAAAATTGTTATGTCGAGCTACTTCGTACTTCGGAAGGCACGTTAAGCCGTTGGTCCCGGCTGCATTTGCAGTCGTTCCCTCCAATCCGCATTGGGCCTGCGTTTATAGTTCATGGCCCATCCTCCTTAACCACCCATAAGGAAGGCCTGAGCCCCTGCAGTGGGGACGAAAAAGGGCTGATGATGATGAATGATATCAAAACCAAAAAACGGTTTAATTACTTTTTCCCCAACCTCATATGTTATGAACTTATTTTCACTTACATAAATGGTCTTAGAAATGATTGATGCTGTGGATAGTGACACCAGACATGCAGTCAACAGGCAGAACGTTCCTATGAGGAACGCAACGGCCACCAGCAAATAAAAGAGTTCTGCTTTTGGTGACACCTTATAATAATCATTTTCGTGGTCCATATAGTAACCGACCACACCTACACAAGCTGCGCCCAACACCTGAAAACAGAGATAAATATTTTTAGAAATCATTGATCTTATTGAATAATGTACTTGTTTACTGTTATGTATATTTAACATACTGTCGATCAGTTGCACAAACGTCCATTAAGATTTAATGACCCCTTAAAGCTCTAATGAATGTCAGATTTGTATGGGTAATGTAGCTTTAAACTTTTGATAATTTAAATGAATGTTTGTGCAACGGGCTGTGTCTGGGAAAGAAATCGCTTTGTTTATTATTTTTATCAATAAAAGGTATAAAATGATAAAAAAAGTTCTTCCGTTTGACGCTAATGAAATCAATACTTCAAATATGCTAAGTTGAGGTTTGGCCCAATTAAACGTAATATTACTTATAAAACTCCACATTAGTTAGAGTTGAAAGCCACGAAAAGTATGAATTATTTATCGGGAAAATAATATTTTCATAACTTTTTTTAGTCGAAATACGTGATGGAATATTATTAAAAAGTTATACCTATATTTCTTCCAAAATTCCTTCCATATAAGTTTGTACCCGTATAAAATAAATAACATGTTATTCTTGGTTTAACGACTCAGAGTGCACATCCTATGGCCGTAAGTTGAAAGTTTTTAATAAAAGTCATCTGAATTACTTTTATAAAAATTTATCTTGTACAAAACCTTTTAAGCTAGATTACTTGCTGAAATAGTTTTCCAATACAATCATTATTTAAAAAATAAAGGAGTCCTTATTTAATAACACTCCATGAAGAAAGACTCGTCACTCGCCGTTACAGAATCGCGCATGATACATTTATATTTACGAAATCCATGACCTCATCGTGCGCATATACACTGGCTAGTGTTTTAGTACCAAAAATAAACGCATGAAAGCGCATACACACTTATATCAAGAACCACGAAAAAGTTTTTCAACAAATCACTAAATTCAAACAAACGCAACGTTATGTGATTAGGTTGACATCCATGAACAAAGATTTTTTATATTCTAAATGAAAAATGTTTAAATAATCCACTTGGTCCCTAGCACCCTGAGATGGGGAAAAAGATTTAGGATTTTTTACGCATTTTTTATTAAGAATAATTTTCAGTATATGTTCAGCATTGTGAATGCGAAATTGATCAAAGTTATTTTGGGCTTTTATTATTAGATACTGAATTAATTAAATAAAACAAAAAATGTTTGTTTTTTGCCTCATTTAAATGTATCGAGTGCTAACTATTTTAGTTACATTTGTTTTAGGCGAAGTTAAATTATTATATTTGCTAATGTTTTTATAAAATTTGTTTGAAACTGTTAATACTTTTATTTTTAAATCTTCTTTTTTTTAATTGGTTGTGTGTAAAATAATAAATTAAAAATATCTTTATTTAATTTGTTAGCACACTATATACCTATATCACTCCCATAATTTAGTTTAGTCTCATTGTTATTATAAACTAGCTGTTCTCGCATTCGCGAGACTTCTTTCGAATTAAAAAATTTAGAATCTCGTTTGTATTTAAGGCCATCGAAATCACAAGGAAAAGTTTAAAGGTTATCGAGAAGACCATTGTGATTTCAAATTATCTTCCGCTAATAGTAAAGACTTTGAATTGACTAAATAGATTAGATTTTAATATTTTGAATGAGTTCGGACGGAACTCTATTTTTAACTATGCACACCATGACGCGTGCGATGATATCATTCGTAAGTCTCAAGGAAAACGACAAATTATTCAGTTTTTATGCAATTTCAATATATTGTTACTAAAAATACTTATCAATGAGACAAATTAACAATTTATTTCATAAATAGATATTTAAATATCGGGAAAGTACAAATCGGGCTCGCGAGCTGTATTCAATACAAATGTCAGATGTAATATTTGTCTGATTCTTTCTAAATACAGCGTCGAAGACAGTTCTATTGCATTATTAGAAGTTTAATCGATTAAAACCTTTGATTAATGTTTGAAGTAAGTTTTTTTTTTATTTGGACGGCTTTACAATATTTGGCCGAGCATCTACCGCTTCCAACTCAGTCACATGACGTTTTAACACTATTAAAGTGGTTTTATTGATTAAAATAACCCACCTAATAACCATCCGACCTGAGTTAATATTACAAACTACATATTCTACAACAGCATCATTCAAAACTAATATCAATAACGAACCCACAGTCTACATGTGAATCAATTAATCCTCATCTTAATTAATTTGTAAATAATAGTGACCTCGTTCTGGTTGTCAGATTATTCGGTCCCGTTTCTCCCGCACCCGGATTCCCAGCGTATTTTATTAATGCGATATTACTCAATGACAATATGTTTTCGCAACTATGTAGGTCAGTCGGCACTCTGGACTGGAATATTGCTATTATCTCACATCCATCTAATATAGGCCGTATCAAAAATGTAACCTTTATAATTTAAACGCATCTAAATTATATAAAAACCAAAGATTTTTGAAACATTTTTTCTTGTTTAAAAAAAAAGTCTGTATATTTCTATCTATATATCTTCTTAACCATCACGCTGTATTCTTGATCAATACTCATTATGTCTAAAAAAATGAAAAACACTCATTCTCAGAGTACTAGGGCTGGAAGATTTTTTAACATTTTCCATTTTCAAGATAACATTGTGAATGCAAATGGATCAAATGTTATTTTTTTATATTGTGCCAAATAAAATGAATTTGATTTGATTTGATTTGAAATATAATAAACACTCAATATCTTAGTCCTTGTATGGCGATTTCTTTGTAAGAGTCTTCATCTAAATGATGGAAATATGCTAATGTAAACAATACCAGAAGGAAATAATAAATAGTATATATCTTGTACTTGCATTAAAGATCTAGCTACTAACCAGCTGGGCAAGCTTGAGTAATCCCGGTGTGGTACTTAGATAACCGCTGTTCACGTACACAGCGGTTCCCGATGACACCGCCGTTGTCCTTGTGATTGTTACAGTATGAGACATGGTATCTGAAACGTTTGAAATAACAATAAGCTAAGACGACACACATTTTTAGCTTATTGGCAACGTTTGATGTCTTAAACACTTTTGATCAGCAAGAAGAAAAAGAAGTGTACGTTTATTACGGCATTTTACATTCAATTTAATATAAAATACCGTAAAAATGTGTTCTTTGCAGTATTTTACACCAAATAAAGCGAAAAAAATATTCAATGAGTTTTTTTTTATTTTCTATTGCAGGAGTCAATGTTCATTATCACTCCAAGTTTTACGGCACTTTTACGATTCGCAAGGCTAAGACGTCAAAAGTGAATATGTATATATCCTTGTCTAATCGAGGTTTATGAACGTATGAAAATATTTTGTTCTTGTTATGAAGCAAACATGTTCTTCTAAACTTTATTTTCATGGCAGCGGCATGTCACAAAATATCAGCACAAAGGGCAAAGGGCTCGCCAATTAGAAGTTTTTTAAAAATTTGTAGAAAACTCAAATTTTATAATTTCATATGATAACATTCTGAACTTTTCTTTTAAGGTTATAAAATATAGGTACATATATAAATTTCCTTAACGAATCAATATTGCTGAGTATGGACTGCAGACTATTTCCGTAAAAGGACATCCTGCAAGGCGGACTGCCAACCTCGCATACGACCTTCTTGAGTCGAGGTCATCAGTCATCGCATTTCAAGTAATATTTTGTAATCTTTCTTCTCGCCAACTGGTTTTATACGCCAATTGTAGGGACTCTCAATGTTTGGTTTCTTAAAAATTCGCCGATATATTTATAACTCCGTTTATAGGTGTAATAAAGGTAGTTTGATAAATTTAGGACTTTTTGCTTTGTAAAACGTAAAAAAACTTAAGCTATAGAATAAACACCCGATTTGAGAAATCGAAAATTATTTGCTTTTGGAAATATGAATAACACTAATATAAAAAAGTAAATAGAGTAAGGTCATTAAGAGGCGCATTAATAACAAATACATATAAATATAATTGTAAAGTGGTCAAGAGCGAGTCGGACTAGCACGCAGTGTATTATAGGATTATTCAATTTTGAACATCAAAGTCTGCTTTGATGACTGTAATTTATAGGTATATAGAACTAATATGACTGAATGAATGAATGAATGAATTATTTATTCTGGTACAAACATGAGACAAATAAGATAGGTACAATTTTCAGGATTCAAATTACAATAAAATTATATAATTAAAATTCAATAATAATAATAAAATAACATATATGCAATTTCGTCTCACGACTGCACCAAAAATAGGTCACCAATTCAGTTATGTCAGACTGGTAGCCCGACGCTGGTTTTCAATTGGTACCTGTATTTTTTCCCTATCTGTATTGTTTTCGGAGATCGGGATATTATAAAAAGGGAAAATTTATGAAATTTTCTCGTTGGAATCAGAGAGTTATCTATAATTTATATGGATATAGCTTCTGCCCGCGACTTCGTTCGCGTGGTAAAGTTACTTTGAGCAGCATTTCTAACGAATATTTATTCATTATATCGTTTAAAATACCTGAACTAAAGTTTCATCCCCTATTTTATCCCCTTAGGGGTGTAATTTATCAAAATCCTTTCTTAGGGGATGCCTACGTCATAGTAGCTTTATGCATGCAAAGTCTCAGCCCGATCGGTTTAAAATTGACAAAGTTTCATAGAAACTTACATCCCCTATTTTATCCCCTTGGGGGTAGAATTGATCAAAATCCTTTCTTAGCGAATGCCTACGTCATAACATCTACCTGCATGCCAAATTTCAACACGATCTGTCCAGTGGTTTGGGCTGTGCGTTAATAGATCACTATGTCAGTCAGTCACCTTTGAGTTATATATATTTAGATTGTTGTTACCGTATAAAACCGATTGAAAGTTAGTTATTTTGGGGTAAACGTTCTCTTAAACTAAGAATCATCAAAAAAATGTGATCTAAAATCTACATTGAAAATAATGATGAATCAAATGCACTTTATATTCGGTCATTGAACCACGCACAATGTCTTAATACACCCCCTAACTTCGAAGTCTAGACCGGTGGCTAGACAACTCCCCGTCGTTGTAACAAACAAATTCATCATTTCTTTTTTTTTTTTTGGTGGTAAATAATATATCTAGGCGATTTTATTGTCCAGTTAATCCTTATTTTACTTCTATGACATTAAATGATAAGTAAATTTATATTCTCAAGTAAAAAGTTCAAAATATTCTGGGAAATTCATTATTATTTTAGCATTTACAAAGTGCACGACATTCACAAACAGACACGACCGAACCATAAAATATTTGAGTTATAGAACTAGAATTTATTTTTATTTAGTCATTTTATGCTAAAATAATTATCATTTATAATGTCAACATGAGCATCACCACTTTGTCTGTAATTTCCAATATTGGTTAGAAGCCAGATCGGCACAGCAACTTAGAACTATAAATTTCGAGATCAGAAATAACAGAAAAACTTACGGCTGATTACTAAACAACTAACAAAGTATCTTAAAACAATCCAAAAGTTTTATAAAGAATCATTTTTCCCATCTACCTTTTGTACCTCGTGAACACAACTTTTAAAAAATTCATCAAAATTGACTTCATACTCAATAGGGATGGTATTGTTTGTTCAGAAGTTTGGTTATAATATGACCACAAAACAGAAACTCCAGAAATGTTAATAATCAAAATGATGGTAACGTTACTAAAAAACATATAATACATAATAACACTTTAATACATAACACTTCATCATTTTGTGGAGTCGGTAAAAAATGCAATAAACCGTCAACTCTACTTTTTGTTATTACTAAATTTAATATTCAATATCTTAATTCTACTGAGCTACAAACGTTAATCTATAGTTTATAAGATTTTTACTATTAATTATGACTTTGTAATGAAAATCTTCATTTGTCTAGTACAATTTTTTTTCTATAATACTTTAATTTCCATATTTTTTCATAAAAATTTAGTGAAACATTAATCAATGTTTAAAATATTGCAACATTTATCTTATCAATATATGTTATATACTAATTCATTTTAACCAAGGTCCAAGTATTAGGTCAGCGGCAAAACGAAAATGTTATTGTTGACATTGCCATGAATGCGCAAGCTGAACTTTTACTGACAATAACTCGCATAAATACTTATAATTTCGTAATACAACTTTACAAAAACATTGGTATTAGTTAAAATTAAATAAGAATGTACTTACTTTTCGGAAAAATCCTACAAGATAAAGAAAATGCTTGAATCACACAAACACTCGATGCGTCAGACGGGCGCTCGCGACTGTGTATGTAACACAAGTATATAACACTGATGACTCACTCTTGTACCGCGCATGCGTCCACTCCACGGCTACATCTACCTACTACTATCAATCTACACTCCAGTTAAATTTCAGTTTTTAACATTAATCTGTTCTAAATATATATTAACTCTTATTACTACTACGTCATCTTGTGTTATATATAAGAGACTGATATTATCATTTTGAATGAACCCTTGACCTTGCAACAATAATTCAATGATATCTAGTGTTGAGTACATCGAGAACCGTAGCAGCTTTTCGTAAGCAATGCTCGTTAATATCATAAAGTTTAACAATGAAAATGATTGCATACATGTATTCGAAAACTTTCTGCGGTCACATAAAAATCCTATAGAAAAATTTACCTGATTTTTCTAAAATTTAAAGCTAACTCTCGCTAATCCCAACGTATGTATAATTGTTAAGAACCACTATTCCTGCGGAAACGTTTTTTTTTTACGTCGAAGATGAATAATGCATTAGGCACTACCCCTGCCGCCTGGCAAGCGACAATACGAGTGTGGGACTCTCCTTCGTGAGTTCACCTCGTGTTTAGCCGCGCGATGGATTCCCGGAGGCCTACCCACAAAAACGTGTACCCTCCCTGAGGATAAGACATGGGAAATTGTGATTGAATCACCAGGCAGGACACTACCTGCGCAATCCTACAGAATGTAGATAAGCAATGCATGCAAAGTATGTTAGAGGTCTATTCCATGGAAATAGCTATTGATAATTTTAAATATAAATTACTATAGATAAAATGGAAAAGAAACATCAAATCGACAGTTGTTTCCTCGCGACTCCGCTCGCATCAGTTTTAGTCTATATCCCCCGCGTATAAAATTCGGTCCAATAGTTTCGGAACATATTCAATGAAAACAAACAATATATTATTATAATATAGATTGAAGGAATATTATTAATTGGAATGCGTTGGTAGGTATACTCGGATAATGTATAATTGATGATTATTAATAAACAGTTAATAAATACTTAAAATAAGTCTTGTTTTTAACGCTAATTAACAATTATTATTACAATTTAACTAGTAAAACTTCCCGGCTTCGCGCTGGTGTAATTTCGTAGTAAACTCCCACCTTCCAATCAGTATTTATCTTTATTAGCTAATTTATTCTGAGGTGTTTAATTTAATAAGGTTTTATTATAACCTATTAATGTCCCCACTGCTAGAGCCCAGACCTTCCCAATGGATGGAATCGGATTGAATCGAGCAGGGAAATTAGGCTACGACCCACCACGCGAATCCAGTGAGGACTGGTGGATATAAACGACTGCAGATGCAGCCGTGACCAATAGCTTAACGTGCCTTCAGAACGGAGGATTTCGAGAGAATAATTTTTTGGTCACCTATCTTATGACCGGCCATCGTGAAAGTCGCTTAACAAACGTAGCGTCGACCGAGCGAACTACCTACTGCGCCATCGAGCTCCTAAAATACCTAAAAGTTTATTTAAATTACTGCTTATCGCACTCCAACAGCTTAGTCATAATCAGCTACACCGAAGATGTTTGCATATATATTTAAGCAAATTTTTTTAAAAAGCTGTTATTGGCTGTGACTATTGATGCGTAACTTATGATTATACAGAAATTGTCATTTATCGATCATAAGTATACAATTACGAGGATATGATTTGTTACTTACTTAAATTCTTCGAAAATGTCGACACATTCATATTTAATAACTTAGATTGATATTTTCTTGTTTATAAGTGTATTAGTCACAATTCACAATAAAACCGAGTCTCATGAAACATCATTTACTCTACAATAGGTATTTAAGTTATATTCAATAACTTGTTTCAATAAATGCTATTCAGAAAAAAAGAAGTACGAAAATATGTCAAAAGATGTCGCTTTTAGCTTTATTACATTGTCTAAAGTCGATTTTACGTTTTCTATATTCTGTGCTATGTAGCATGCTTTTTGGGGTTATTAAACAAGGAACCCTTATAGTTTCACCATGTCCGTCTGACCATCCATCCACGGTTTAGCTCAAAAACTATCTAGAAAGTTGTAATTTAGCATGTAAAGTGGTAAAGTAAGAAAGCAACGGCTACACTTGCGAAAATGGTTATAGGAATCTTTCACCTTGCAAGCAATTAGAATTTCATTAATTTGGTCCATTTTACATTCAGCGTGCTATATTTATATGGAAATGGAGATGGACACCAAGGCGCGATTCGCAATTCGCGAAATCCAAAAAATATTTCGTTGTTCTTGATTTCAATTTGAATAGGTCAGATTCTGCCGACGGTGTATCTGTGGTGTTATCTGGCATAGAATTATGATTAAGACAGGATTTTTTCAGACCCCATAAAGCTAACTTGAAAACAAGTTAATTCAGCGAATTTATTTGCTGACTCTAATTCTTATATTTACTTAAAAAAGTACAAGCCTGTTATAAATTTCAATAAAACTCATATGTTTGATTTAACATTGGTTTTATCATAATCCTAAACAAGGTTAGGCTTCTGATATATTTATTTTTTAAATAAATTTAATTTGAAAAAATGAAACCTTCATTTTATTAGAGTCAAGATCTTGATCAAAATCCTGATTAAGTCACCAAAGCGTTATCTCATTTGGTTAACATAAATATTTAAATATAATTTGGTCCCTTTTTGTTTGCAGTGTTATGATAATAGAGAAACAGCCTAGAACTTCACATCAGCGAATAGAAGAACAGGCAGCGTCTTCAGAGAATAGAGGTCCAATCAGGAAAAACCTACATTTAATTAAGGTTTCATTTGATTACAATTCTATGCCGTCACAGCGCTGCACTCAACGTCGGCATTGAGTTCAAGGCTATTTATAACAGAATAGCATAGATCTATTCGCAAAATGGTCTCCTTCTGTCAGTTTTTCGTGACATGGTATTATAACGTGTCTAATGTTGTGGCTATCTCTAAGCTTATTGAATATTAAAAGCTTGGTTAGAGATAGTGACCTAATAGTATTAGTATTATTAGTACCTAGTATTATTGTATAAATTTCTGAATGAAATTTATGGATTCTATCTAGAAAAAATATTGTAAGGGTTGTAATCGGTTTCCCTTGTTTTAATTTTCGAATGTTTAAAGTTTGAAACTTTCAGTTTGATATGTGATGTCTTTTTATTGCGGAATGGAGCTGCGCACAGTTGTAATTGGAGTGAAAATTAACTCTGTATTTTAAATATAAATCAGATATAATTCTGTAGCTATGATTTGTAATCTGTAATTGTGCCATTAATTTAATATTTAATTTAAATAAATAATTTAAATACGACGTAAAAAAGCAATGATTTTATCAATATTATACAACTTGTTTTCCGTTTGTTATAAATAAATAAGTCATCATTTATCGTTAAAATATGTTTATTAACTTTTTACAAATTAGTTAAATAATAATGTAGACCTATTACAACATAAACTTCGCTTTTACACCATCATCATACAAACGAATCGACATAATTAACTTTTTAAATAAAATGCATTTATTAAATGGAAAATTATGTCTATACGTTAAAATATTATGCGATTTATGTTTGTATAGTAACGAAAGTTATTAACATTCAACACAACTTAAATATTTCAGTACATAACAGATTTTAAATCTTTACTCGTGGGTGTGAGGAACAGTTATTCAATAAATTAGTTAAGAATGATCAAAACTGTTCAGAAGCTAAATTAATACACATTTTAATTATGTGTTACATACACATAAAACAAACTAAATAGGTACCTGCCGGGTATATAGTCTTCATGCTATACTTAGTGTATATATTCATCATCAACTAAATTACAAAACAATCAAATAGGCATAAACCTGGCTTACAAGTATTATCTTCACATTTGTTTTTAAAGTGGCAGTACAGACCCTGCCTTTATAATAAAGGTAAGCTAAAAATGATGTAACTTCGTAATGTAAAGCAGTTTTGATTTAATAATTGTCAATATTATACATATATAAATTGTTATGCAAATAATGTGTGTATATATTTTCTTATATTTCGAAAATGAGGTTAAAATGATTTTGATGTTTAGGTTTATAAACAGGTGGTTTACCTTCTATGCTTATTTAGAAACGAAAGAGATTTAAAAAAAATACATCAGTATGGTCTAAGTAAGTATGGAGTCGAAAAATTAATTTGCATTCAATTTTATTAGAAACTGTCCCTGTGGAGTAATGAGTCACATCTGAAATTTGATTGTATTACCAAATCTTAATCAATACTTTAAGTTTAAAAGAATTGTTCTTCATCTTATAAATGTGTAAATTCAAATTAATAGAACTGTAAAATGATTACTTTTAAATTATTAGATCAATTAGGTACAAATTTTTACCTAGAATATAGCTAAGTGACACAAAATGTACCAATATTATATTAATACGTACACTCGTATACAAGAAATATTTATAATTATGAATACAATGCACCATAACTCACAGAGTGTAACTAACAGTAAATATAATTGAGATTAAATACTTGAGAATTTTCAATCATAATAGCTTACACCGAGTCACGTAATTACCCATCTCAAAAGTCATGCTTAATAATAAAATATTAGATTAATAAAACTGTCATCAACAGACTTCTGTTCATAAATGACGATACTGAATTACGACTGATATGCAAATCAAGTATTTAAAAAATATGCTCATTTTATTTATTAAAATTAACCTCCTGAGAGTTGTGCCGTGTGCAAACAAACAGACGACAGGACACCTTCGGACCAACACACACTCAAGAGTTTAAAAGTTTCATAAAATTACCGGCTAATGTTTGGACTCTTGAACTAAATAAATACATATTTGAGCTATCAATTTATATAGTAAATTAATACAAATAAAGAATATTTTTGTTCGTTACAATAAAACTGTTTCACTGTAAGACTAGTCTAACATTTATAACAAGCATAAATTAAATTATTCATTTAATTACAATCTAAACTTATCAAGAATTCTCTCGTTTGACATTAAAATATAACTCCTACATCCGCTCACGTTAAGCGTGCTGAATTCGGATTTAAATTTTGAAACATTGATCAATTTTTGCCTATATATCGCATGTCATTTGATAGATTATCTTCCTAATGATTATATAAAATGAAGGCACTAAATAAGACACGTGCTCCTAATACATATAGATGGAAGGTGGACTTACATAAGTATATTCTATATGGCCATAAACATAGTGGTTAAATCAACAACCTGTAGATATAAAGAAAACCAGATTTGAATATAAAAACTTTACACTGAAATCTCAATAATTCCAAAGCGATTCGTCAAATTGTATGTTTATATTAAAAAAAAAACTAAAGTACAAATGCAGTTTTCTTTTCTCTAAAATCATATTTAAAAAAATATATCGCTTAATGTTAAACAGATTTAATCATGTATAAACTTCCCATTATCATAACAAGTGTTTGATGTCATGATTACGTTTAGATGCGTTTTACGATTCGTAAAATCAATATATTTAGATTTATAACATTCGTTGAGTTCTGTGATATTAAATTTGGGTACTCGTTATGTTCCAGAGTGGTGAAATCGGATATTTGGATTTTTATTTTACTGGCCACCGTAGTTGCAGCGTACACCTCACGATGACACAGCCATTGCGCTTCTGTGGTCTTTGAACAAGAAGAAAGAGCTTCCAGCGTACGCCACAGTGTTGAATAAACCGAACACCTGTACAAACAAACCGAATATTATTCATAACAATAATTGTAACAAGCCAGTGTTGAAAAGTCGAGAACGTGAGCAGATGTTTCTTAAATTATACTTGTTTTTTTAGTTGGAGTTTTTTTAGTTTTATATTATAGAGTGAAAATAATTATAACTATTAATGCGGAAAACATGGTGCTTTTTAAAAAGACTCGAGACAGCCACAATTCGTAAAAAAAAACAAAAAAGGAACTGTTTCTATCCATAATAACTATACTAACATTTCAAACTGAACACAATTACAAGAAAAACCTGCAAAATTTTGTTAAAATAGAAAAACATACTATGCGAATAAAAATCAGTACATCTAGCAACACATTAGGTTATGTCATATTTCCGGAATTGATTTTTAACTCTACCATGAATGCGTTTAGTGTTACTACAAATCGAGTAAAGAAATTTGACAAATTTGTATAGACTGACGTGCTGTTGACTGTATTCTCTTTTTAATTTCCCTATTTATATATTTTAATACAAAACCTTTGAGTTCCCAATAACTCATATTATCTCATAATTTGAAATTTTTCTCATAATTTAAAAGATATTAGCCATACTTACCGTATGGCTAATATCTTTTAAAAGAATCAACGACCCTAATGATGTTATTTTCAAGTTGACTGATGGGTCGTTACCTAAAGAAAACCGTCTTGACAGACGGACAGACAAGGAAGTGATCCTAAAAATAAGTTACAATGTTTAAAGGTTACTGACTTTTTTCGTTTATTTAGCATAAGCTTATCAAGTTTGTCTTCATCATTGTTTTTAGTGCAATAAAAGCCTAGTATAATAATTCTTATCGGAATTTAAGCTTCATGCTTTAGCACCACACGGCTATTTATAAATTTATACACGTTAATTAGTAACTATTATATAAATATATAATTAGTTTAGATTGGAATAATTCTTATCTTTACACAGTTAATAGATTTATATATTAAATAAAGGGATTTGAATATTTGATCAAATATATCAGCATCTCTATTCTCGACGTTAAATTCGAGTCTGATTTTATTAGAGAACCAGCTGTTTTCCAGTGATTTCACCTGCATTAATATCACCACTATATCACCCTTACCATAAGTCAAAGAATTTTATAATACATAATAATATAGATAGCATAGCTTAAAAATATGTCCCTACAGGAAGCATTCTTTGAGCGGGGTTATTATAGTTCCTACAATATTACCGACATACAAAGAGGTTTATTCTAATAAAGAAGAAACAATGTCTTACAGCTGCCGCGACGTTACTCCCGTAGTAGGGGCCGTATATGGATGACGTATTCGCGAACATGATGATGAACGCTATGAAGTACATCAACGTCTGGATACCGGTACCGATCAACTCCTGGAAGACAATGAAATATAAATGTTACATTATCATTCAAAACCATCGGTTTTCCCGCGGCTTCGCCTTCGTAAATTATAGACTGCTTCCCCCAAGTGGTACCTAAGGAAGTTTTGGAAAGGATAAAAAGTAGCCTATAAGTTAATCCAGGGTTAGAATTATACGAAAACATCAAACACTATTCAATCGTTTTTTGCGTGAAAGAGTAACAAATATACACTAGGGTATGATATAGCGACCCGTAAGTGAAAGAATTTTTGAAATCGGTCCAGTAGTTTTAAAACCTATTCATTGCAAGCAATCAAATCTTTCCTCTGTATAATATTAGTTTATTAGGGTAAAATGTGCTCAACCTTTGTTCCTTGTTTGTAGGCATCAAAAAAAATAGAAATGGAACCCATTTCTATTTTTTGAATATCAAAAAGTCTATAAAAAAGTATTAAAAGTTAAAAAGTAGTAAGAACTCAGCATTTCAATTTATTCTAGAAGTTTCGTAAGAAATGAATGCCATATGATTTCATTAACACCTGCGACACTTAATTAGGTATATTTTATATCTAATTAATTCAATAATAGCTAATAATATAGATTTAATAAGGTCGATTGATAAAATTAATTTTTAAAATTCTATCGAAATAAAATAATACCCTTTTCTTGTTTATAATAAAGAACAAATAAATGGAAGAATTACGTCCTTTTAACGACGGTGTTGTTGTCACTTTTTTTTTAATTAAAACGGATTTGAAGTAATTCTAAAAAGTTACTTTTAAAATATACAAATGCAATGAAAATATTTTGCATTTGAAGTCAGCCAATTAATATTATCACCTGAATTCAATTTAAATTTATTAAATTTTTACATAAAGTGTCGCTCCTTTTTTATCAATATAAACAAGACAATCTCTTGAAAAACATGTGATTGATTGACCGATAAAATGTTTATCACGGTCATACGAAAAAATTCAATAGATATAAAAAATGTTTCTGTGAAAACCAGCCTTGAATTTGTCGTCGAACGCAGTGCTGGCGCTGTTATAGCACAGATGTTCAATCAAAAAGCTCTATGACGTGACTTCACTGTTGTGTCGCTGCGTGCTGCCACGAGTTCGGGCTACCCTCCTACCCCCCTTATTACATAAACCAGTGAAAGACAAGTGCCAGTAAAAAATCGGCCCAGCCGTTTCAGAGATTAGCCGGAACAAAAAGACAGACAAAAAATATAAAAAATATGTTATTTTTATTTACATACGTATGTATTTAATGAAAAGCAGTTGTTTTGATATAACAAACAGTCACGCCAATTTTAATTATTTGTATAGATTATGAATATTCTACATTTGTAAAGATTATTTATTTGCTGTGACTCACCGATAACACCCAATTGATGGGCAGCTTAAGTGCTTCTCTGACACTGAGCAGGTACACAAAACTCCACAACAGTGTAGTGATAAAACACGTGACAGCAACGAACACGAAGAACGTTGAATACCACGGCGAGCCGAGCGCCATACACAGAATGCCTAAAACCTGGAACGAAACAATGACCAATAAATATCACAAATTTATGCGATTCGCTATCATCCATCTTATTAGAACTGGGAAAAAATATTTTCATAAAGTGGTAATAATACTTCTTTGGTAAATACTTCTTTGTACTGTTTCTATCTGGCCGCTTTTGATAACGTTAAAAGATTACACAAAAAAAGAAAAGTTTACACTCAAATTTAAATACTTAAAAGCTTTATGACATGCTCTTAATAAAAGAAAGTAGAAGAAGTAGAAGTAGAAGTAGAAGATCTCCAGATTTTACCTCAAAAGGAAAAATAAACAGGAAATAATTATGAAAATGTTGTTACCAGTCATTTTTCATTTGTTTTTCTTTTTGTCAAAACGTATGTATTTAAAGAAGTCAACGCGAGCCGTAAGAAAAGCAAGATAAAGATTTAATTAGAGGCAATTAGTTTAAGCAGTTGTTGCATGCACTTTATTTGTATATACGATTTGTTATAATATATTAACATTACTTCGTGTTTTAATTAAATAAAACACGTGTATAAATTGATGTCACAATGTAAGTCTTCTCTGTGTACTGTTTTGATAAGGCAATTGCAGGTTGTGCTATGATTCAATTCGTATGACACATCTCCGTTTCCGGACACTATTAACAATGTAAATTCCATATAAAATTTCGTGTTGATAAATATTTTAATACATGATATAGTATTAATCAAATTGATATAGTAATAAGTGTTATAATAAATAATAATCATGGTCTGTTTGTTATACAACACCTTTCTGTGAATCTTTCAATAAACTGACTTTAAGATAGCACAAACAAAAACATAACCTTACCAGAACATTTTTAATTGTAAAAATTTACTAATAGATTTTTTCGTTACGCCAATATGTCAATGTCATGTATATTGTGTAAACTTGGTTAATTAAATACTTATCATTGTATAATTAAATAAAATAAAGAATCACTCATAACTTGGATTAAATACAAGTATTTATAATCTAAGATTCGAGAGATCACAGTTTGTACTATGTAAATTATTGTTTTTATTCGTAAACTTGCCTTTTTACCTGCGTATGATATAATGTTTACATTAAAAAATCAAATAAATATCTCCTGCTTGTTGATAATAAAACCTAAATGAACCTTTTACTATATATTGAATTTCATCAAAATAAACATAATCATACTCTTTTTTACTTCATTCATCATGTATTATAAATAAAAACTTTTATGACTTTCATTTTTAATTCAAACAGAATGGTGTTTAGAGCAGACTAGCGCAGATAAATAAAAAAGTTAGCGGTAATATCCCGATACCACTAGGGCAACGGTGCGCGGTAAATATGATCAGTAAGGAAAGTTACAAACTAAACTTGGACACTGTAGGTATTTTTAGTCATTACTGTTTGTGAAATTATTGTTATTTTACATGACTGTTTTATGCCAAAATAAATGAAAAAAAAAAACAATGCAAACAAAACTAACACAATACCAGGAAATAATATGACAATTTTCTAGTAAAAGTAATAGGACAATGTCTTCTCTTTTTGCTCTTATCAAAAGATAAAGATGCGAGATGTGAGACGCAGTTTCGATAAGCTATAAATCTTTATGCATTTAACGCGAATCGAAACGGCTAATTTATGTAACTAAAGCTTGAGACATTAATTTTAATACTAACCAGTTTCTTGAGTATTTTTGAAAATCTACGCAAAGGCAAATATAAAAAAATGCAAAACTAGCTTGTTTATAAAGAGCAAAAGTTTAAAACAGACAAGTGTCTAAACAGTGAAAATTGATATAAATCCAATTTGAAATAATTATTTATTTATGAAGTTGTTAATCACAATTATTCTAAACGGTACCTTTTTATGGCATGAATATCTTTATTTGTCTAAATGAAAAAAAAATGTTCATAAAGTAAAGGCGTTATGGGTATGATGTGCATAATCATAACCCTAATAGAGTTATGACGTCACATGGTTAATAATCTTGATCACAGTGTTATATATTTTGATAATCATCTCCTATGCAGAAATGCACTATTTTAAGCAGAGTACGTACTCCGACTTGCTCTTAGCCGGTTTTCTGGTGCCTGATGGCAAGCAAAGTTTAATATTATTATACTTAAGGAAACCGAAATCCACAGTTGAACCTATTAAAAATATTGCTTTACATTTTCATCATAGTCAAATAGAATGAAATCGTGGTACAAATAAATTGAAATGACCTTAAATGAAACCTGTGTGTAATTTTAACTTAAATATATTGTTTTAATAACACTAGATTTATTGCATCGACGCCTTAATGTTGCATGTGTACTAGCTCTTAGACGTGGTATGGCCACAACCGGTTTGGCGCGACCCATTGCCGGAACCGTAGCCTGTCGCAATGCACACCACAGGTGCTGTTTGTAGAAAATTCCAAGCGATAACTGGACTCTTCGATCAGTATGCTAACATACTGAGAGTATTATGTTCACAATAGTTTCATATTAAGTAGAGTAGTACCCATAGTTATGTACAAAGGAATTGTTACTCGTATTCTAATACACACAAACAAAACTCTTTGTATTTTTATCAGCTTTCTTGGTTTTCATATCTGAAATTATATCGATTGTTCTATGTGTATAACCCCGCTGTTTATTAACTGTAAAGTCATAAAACATTTATAGCTTTAGTAATAGAACAATAAATATTGCAAAAGCAAAAAATTCCTTACGTAACGTTGCACAAGAATACTTTTATAATTGCCCACTCTCAAAATATCTTGTAATTTTTGTTTTTAGAACAAAAGGAAGGTAAACAGTTGGCATTTATTTTGTGCACGATGCAATCTTGTGACGTATATCGAGGTCAAACCGATGTGTGTCAGAACATGTGAGACGCGTACGCGACTGCATACAATATGGTGAAAGTGCGTCGCCCTAGTACGCCGATGTCGTATGGGACACACCAATGACAGGTCCGGATCGACGGTTTTTTGACAGATGGGTCCGAAGGGGCAAAAGGGTCCCAGCCTGCTCCGATAGGCCGGATTTTTTATTACCATTATTCGCAGTGCATGATTCTTTTATTTTATTTCTTACTAGATTTCCGCCAGAGGATTCGCCCGCGTGGTCATGTACTACATATAAATCTTCCTCTTAAATCACTCTCATATTAGAATGATTGTGAAAATACGGGTAGCTAATTATAGTATAATGGGTATCGAAATTATTAGTATATTTACTGATATGTGTCTTAAATATCGTGAACTCACGAAATGTAAAGTATGTACATAGTAGGAAACCGTATTTTACAATCATTCTTATGTTAATAACCATTACAGTTTTAAAAAAAACTCTGTATATTAATGAGAAGCGCATTAACATCCGTAGTGTAGATTAAAAGATCTCAGCATACAGATAACTTTTTATTGTGTTAAGGACTTTGAAATGTCTCTCCCATTGTGCCTAGCCTAGTGTGTACAAAATACTTTTATATGAAGCTCATATTTTTTTACAGTATTATATTTATGATGATTTAAGCGCCCCCGATACTGGCGCCCGGGTCAATTGCCCCCACTTGTCCCCTTCAATCCGGCCCTCGTCAATGGTTCCGCAGGCCATAAACGCATATCAACGCTTTTACACGTTGCAGTCGCGCTCCAAATAACGAAACGTTGCCGGATTTCCGATCTGACAATAGAACCCGATAAAGGTACGCCTGACACGGTTCACGAGTCCCCTAGCTCACCGCACTAAGGATTCATTCATTGTTATTAACATCAAACAATAGTCATGAGAAAAATATTTTTACACGATTTTGTTTTTATAAGACTAGTTAATTAACTCTAAATGGTTTCTTTAACATGCGTCATATATTCGTGGGAGTATAAGTATACTTAAAGTTTCTATTAATGTCATTTTTTTCTTTGACATCATATAAATAAACCTTACTCACGCATATCCAAACCACAAACGTTTTATAATCTCAAAAGAGTTTTAATTATGTGATAAGTAGGAGAGAAACCAAAAAATATAACAGTAGCGAAAAGCGACCTTATTTTAATACTATGTAGTATGTTTATTTTTAGTGTTACATATAAGATATAAGATGAACAAGTAAAGAATAATGTAGGTAATTGATTAGAAACTTATGACTTCCCGTCAAACCGGTAGTGATGTAACGTACCGTGACATTGTCTGTCCTTTTATTGTTAGATCCGACTAACAAAAAGTGAAACTTCAAACAAAAGGAAAAACTGCATTAAATGGTCAATTTCAGTACCTACAAAACTTATAAGTAACTCGATGATTTGCCGCGACTTAGCTCGCAAAAATAATGGAAATTTTTTTAATTTTTAATCATTCCACTTGCGGAGCCTCAATGCAAATAAACAAATAATCAAATCTTTCCCCATTATAATACATGTATAGTGTAGATAATAAAATGATAATACTGTCTCGCATACATCAATATTCATGGTATTATTCCCCAGTCGAGTCAATGTAGAGTCGACAATTAACATTTCTATAGATAGCTACTGTCTGTCGTCCGGGAGTTGTGCGATATGCTATCATCTTAATATTTTCTCTTTACTTTAATACCTTATCTAACTAAGGATCTGAGCAATATATATTAGATTCTATTCATATGATATTTTTGGTATAAAAAACCTCAAACGACCTCTTTCATCTAAATCACATGGTTGAACTGCAAGCAACGAGCTCTAGGTTAATTAATTTGCAACACAGCGATCAATACTTACTTTCTCTTTGTAGAAACCTGACATTTATATGTTTATTGGTAAAAGGTAAAAGTTTTGTTGATTTCAACATCAGCGACTGTTGTCTACCGTTTTTATACATATCCCTATGTATGCTTAAATTTTAAAACAGATTTTGATGCGGTTTTTTTAATAGATATAGTGATGGTTTTAGTATAAAGTAAGTTTAGGTTTTGTACAAACTGACGATATTAGGTCATTATGTCGGAAAAAATAAATCCGATCGGAAGCTTTCTTC